TCCCAATTGTTAGGTTGTCTTTTCGTTTTGTTGATGGTTTCCTTTGCTGTGCAGAAGCTTTTTAGTTTGATGTAGTCCCATTTGTTTATTTTTTCTCTTGTTTCTCTTGCCCGATCAGACGTGGTCGGGTAACATTTTAGATTCTCTGTTAAGGTTTTGGCAGCCATCTCCCTTCCTAGGATGTCAGCTCCATGAGGGCAGGGATCTTTGTCTGCCTTGTTCACCACCATATTTCAAGTGCCTAGCATGGAGCACGGTGCTAGGAATATGGGAGCTGCTTAATAGTTGTTGCATAAATGAAAATCTTACCAATTTAAATTATTTGCATGGAGCAATAATGTTGAGAACATCCTACCAGGAATCAGAAAGCAACAGGAAAACTATTGTTTAAAAAAAAAAAATTAGAACTTGTGGATGAAGAGTGAGGCTTATGCCAGGTGTTTCCCTGTAGGGCGCCAGCCTCCCCGTGATGGACCTGACTGAGCTCCCCAAGTGCACAGTGTGTCTGGAGCGCATGGACGAGTCCGTGAATGGCATCCTCACCACGTTGTGTAACCACAGCTTCCACAGCCAGTGTCTGCAGCGCTGGGACGACACGACGTGAGTGCAGGAGCTCATCCCCCACCCTGTCAGCCCGTTATTACTCTTTCCCAGAATGAAAAGTAGCCACCACCAAAAGTGGATTATTCCAAGCATTTGAATTTATAGACTTGGGCACCAGGATAGTAAAGAGGTCACAGGGAAGGGCCTTCCATTTTTCTTCTTCACTTTACTCAATTCATGTGGGAATGAGCATTCTTAGACTAAGTCCTTTGTAGATGCTGATTCTGAATCCTTGTGGAATTTTCAAAAGCAGCATGAACTGTTTCTTTCCAAAAGCCAGACAGAGAATAAGGGGGAAAAAAATAATAAAGCTTAGCTTTGAGGCTCTTATACTAAAATGAAATCTAGGGGCCGGGCCGGTGGCACAAGTGGTTAAGTGCACGCACTCCGCTGCGGTGGCCCGGGGTTCGCCGGTTCGGATCCCGGGTGCGCACCGATGCACTGCTTGTTAAGCCATGCCGTGGCAGCGTCCCATATAAAGTAGAGGAAGATGGGCACGGATGTTAGCCCAGGGCCAGTCTTCCTCAGCAAAAAAAAGGAGGGTTGGCATTGGATGTTAGCTCAGGGCTGGTCTTCCTCACAAAAAAAAAAAAAAATGAAATCTAGATCTAAAATCTCATTTATCACCTGCACTTGATGTCTGCCATTTACTTTGGCTTTCTTATCAGCTGGGCTATAGCAAACTAACATTTTAGGTTTATCACGCTGTTCATGGCTCGGTGGCCAATAGTGATAGCAGTCACTAAGTATGAGGCACACGTATACCTACAGTGTCCTGTTTCCCAGTGCAACAGAGGGTGGTGGTATGCACACAACTGAGGTGTGACCTATACCTTTATTTTTTTTAATCGAGGGTCATTGGTCCCTTTGCAAACTGCACAATGGGACTTAGCTAGAAAGGTAGATGAGACGCTGGTCTCATGTGTTTCCTGGTAGAGAGAGGAAGATGCAGAATCCAATAATCACACAAATAAATGTGAAGTCACAGCCATCCAGGTGTTACAAAGGAGCAGTGTGCAGCATTGTGACTGGAGAGCTAGGGCCCTGACACAGCCAGGGCCTTCTGAGAAGTGACATCTCAAGGAGGATGAATAGGAGTTAGCCAGTGAAGAGGGGGACCTGAGAGAAGTCAGTGGGGGTCAGGGTGCGCACAGGAAAGGGAAGATCACGTGCCAAAGCCCAGAAGTTAGGAGGGGTGAAAGTCCACAGGAATCTCTGTTCTCCACCCCCAAGTGACCAGAAGAATGCCAGCTTTCACAGAGCAGGGACCTCTGCTTGTTCACTGCTGTGTGCCCCTCACACCTAGCAGGAGACCTGATACATAGTAGGAGCTCAGAAAGTATTCTTGAGCAAATAAATAAACCCTGGGTTTTCCATAGTTTATTTAGCTAGACAAGAATCTTACCCTAGTTCTACCGAGTCCTCAGTCAATTCTGGGGTATCATTTGGGGGTTCTTCAAAGAATTGTCCAGGTTTAAATTTGCCTTGAATAAAGTCACACTGAGATGTGTGCATTCCATAACTGTTTTTCTGTATCTCGTGTCCGTCTGCTACACCATTCAAGTTCTGGACACTTCTTAGTTCCCTGCCACTCCAGTTTTACTTTCAGTACAAGTTAGCTGTCATAGAACCATAGCATTTTAAAGTTGGAAGTTTCCTCAAGGACCATCTTGTTCAAGCTCCTCATTTTACAGAGGAAGAAACTGAGGCCCAGAGGTGAAAATCAGCATGCTCAAAGCTCATGCTTATACCAGAGAATGCCAGAACTGGGACTACAATTCAGCCCTCTGTATGGGGTGTGAGGCCTGGTGGCTGTCCTCAAATATGCAGTTCCTTCAGCAAGTGGGTCTTGGGCCTCAGTATATGCATAGTACAGTGCTGGGTGCTGATGGGCGAGAAGCAAACAGATCCTCCTCAGAGAAGTTCAGTCTGCAAAGGGAGTTTACACGTGTACATAAATGCATGCGATTCAAGGTAGAGATTGGAGGAGATAGAAACAGGAAGGGCTGCATGGAGGAGGCAGCATTGGGACCAGGTCTTGAAGGGTGGTTTTTGGACACATGGAGATGTCAGGGAAAGACATTCTAGGGGGGTTTCCCCAAGTATCTCCTCAGAAAAATAAGATGACAACTCAAAATTATTTTTGAAGGGGAAGGCAGGAAGAATTTAATAAACTTTAATTATTTTTTAATAGATGGGATGGTATATCATCAAGTACTAATTGTATAGTACAAATAAGTTTATTTTTGTAATATTTTCCCTTTTTATTCTAAATATGTTCCCTTTTTATTCTGATCTTTAGTCTAAAGATCATACTTAGATGTCAGAAAGATCATTCTGGCACAATGTAGAAAATTAGATTTCAGAATTAGTTTGTTGTTTTCTTATCCAGCCACTACCACAGCCACCACACAGACCAAGGGGGATGACACAGGGCTAGTTTCTACCTTTGACAAGACGGCTTACTGCTTACTAGCTGCCGTTTTTGTTATTTCTTCAAGTTTGTCAGAATTCTCTTTTGATACTAAAGAAGGAGACAGACTAGATCCTTTAGCTTTCTCTTAGAAAACACAGATAGAGCCTGGTTATCTGTGAGAAGAACTTAGTGTTCTTCCTGCTTAGTTCCTTTTCTTGGTTTTATTTACTCAGTTGGGTAACAAACTGATACTAGTTGTATCTTAAGCATTCTTTCTTGGTGCTAATTCAGTTAGCCTCAACTACAACCCACTTTCTATCATTTTTGCCCATCTGACAAAAATATTCATGACTTGTACTTAGCACTACTTTGTCTTGACTCTAATAGAAAAGGTTTAATGGATTTTTTTCAGTGCTGGTTTCTTTTTTTCAGCTTTATTGAGGTATAGTTGACAACCAAAAATTGTATATGCTTAAGGTGTACGATCTGATGACCCGGTATACGTATACGTTGTGAAATAGTAACCACAACCAAGCCGGTCAACATATCCGTCACTTCATACCTTTACCATTTTCCTTTATTTTTTCCTTTTCTTTTCTTTTTTTTTCTTGGTGAGAACACCCAAGATCTACCCTCTTAGCAAATTTCAAGTACAACAGTACAATATTGTCAACTATAGTCACGTTGATATACACCAGTTCTCCAGAACTTATCTTGCCTAACTGGAACTTTGTACCCTTTGACCAACATCTCCCTATTTCCCCCTCCCCCCAGCCCCTTGAAACTACCTTTCTACTCTGTGTATCTGAGTTTGGCTTCAGTGCCATTTTTATTGGCTTTTTGTAAATTGAAACTTGAGTACTCACAGAGCACTGGTATCCTCTTCCACATGATGTTCATTGTATGGTAAATGTCACATGCATTTCAGGAAGTACATTAACATTTTTTTTTTTTAATATGATGAAATTTACTGCACAGTTTAGTTCGAACTCTTGGGAGCAACCTTGAGAGGACAAGATACATTTTTAATGATTTAGATCTTTGAGAAGTGCGGATAAGGTAGATTGTTTGAAGTAAAAATACCTTATGGATAACCAGATATGAAACAAAATTAATAACTTGTCTCAAGTCCCTAATTCTAACCTGTAAATATTTAGTTCTTTGATTATCTAAGCTTTAGACAGAAGAGTAGAAAAAGGTATAAGGCAGATCAAGATTTCTCCTTTTTCTTCTGCTTTATCAAGATTTTCTATTTTTTCATTTTGTTTGAGAATAGATTGAAAGTGTTTGTTTTTGAGTGATATCCTTAGTTATGATAAACTTAAAAACATTATATAAGAGAGGGAGGATATAACATTCAGTTTTTGACTTTTGGGTTCTGTAACAGCTGTCTTTTATATTTATCTTTTGGTGTCCTGGCTAGGTGCCCCGTGTGCCGGTACTGTCAAACGCCAGAGCCAGTAGAAGAAAATAAGTGTTTCGAGTGTGGTGTTCAGGAAGTAAGTAATGTATGGTGGAGAAGAATAATGAACACAGCTCTAATTCTCTGAGGTTTTCTCTGGCCTTCTGTGGCTTAAATTCTTTTTGAGACCGATTTTTTTTTTCTTTTTTGTCTAGGGTCAGGCAACAAATACAAAAACACAAACTATTTTACTCCTAAGCAAAATACTTCATACTTTTATTCTTTGTTCTTTGAGAAGGCCTAGACTTTTATTGATAAATTGTGAATATTTTTCTTGCTATTTACATGGAGTTCCTTAGAAATCAGAGCAAGAAAATGATTGACCCATAAAAGCATCCCTGCCTATTGGATTTTAAACATAAATTTATTCAAAACTCTTGTAGAAACAACTGTAAATCTCATTCTGTGTGAGACCCCTTCCCACCCCAAGTGGGCCAGGTCATGTATTTTTATATAACTAATTAAGATCTTACCTCCTTCTTGGCAGAACCTTTGGATTTGTTTAATATGTGGCCACATAGGATGTGGACGATATGTAAGTCGACATGCGTACAAGCACTTCGAGGAAACCCAGCATACGTATGCCATGCAGCTCACCAACCATCGGGTCTGGGACTATGCTGGAGGTGAACACTGCTCTCATTTTCTAATTTGGATTCATTCTGTGTGAAAACTTCTCCTTCAGAACCTCTCTACTTTCTCTCACAGCTTGACATCTTCCTCACAGCTGTGGCAAACTGGAAATCTCATGGTGCCCCTTCGGGCACTATTTCCTATGAATGGCCTGAATTGCACATTATAAAGAGAATTAATACTTCCACTCTTGCCCTCTCACTCTTTTTTTAATTCAAATGATGTAACCCACTTTTAAAGAAATATTGCAAGGCATTTAATTTGATCTGAAAATAATTTTGTCAAAACCGTACGGAGACCTTTTCATTCTGAAGAAACACGCCTTGGTTGACTCTTTTCTTTAGATAATTATGTCCATCGACTGGTTGCAAGTAAAACAGATGGAAAAATAGTACAGTATGAATGTGAAGGTGATACTTGCCAGGAAGAGAAAATAGATGCCTTACAGTTAGAGGTAAGATACTTTATTAGTAATTACTAAATACCTATTTCTACTGCTTTTTACTATTCTAACTTGAAAGATTGTTTGGGCTTCTAATTTTGCCATTTACTCTGCATGTCAACTTTTTTTAAGTTGTATCATTGCTATGAAGGATTGTTGAAATATTTTTATTTGTCTCATTTTCTTCTTTGAAGTCTAGGTTTCACTGTGCCTTATTTTCAATATGATGTTCCTAGTTGTCCCAAGTTCAGTATTAAGGTTGTTCTCCATAGCTGCAGTGACACTGAAAGTCAAGAATCTTCCTGTTGGTGGGGGCCGGCCCCATGGCTTAGCGGTTAGTTCAAGGTTCAAGGCCGGTCTTCCTCAGCAAAAAGAGGAGGATTGGCATGGATGTTAGCTCAGGGCTGATCTTCCTCACAGAAAAAAAAAAAAAAAAAAAGAATCTTCCTGTTGGCATCACAGTAGCAATTGGAAACTGAGCAGACTTGGTCAAAATGAGGAAACCCCAATAGCATCTTTCCACGCCCAGGAAGCTTTTTCACATAGATTGGGCTGGCATTGTATGAATTAGAGGCTCATATACACTCAAAGTATATATTTTATGAATTTCAGGCTTATATACGTAAAGCCATCTTTGGGTATTCATATATTTGGAAAAACAACAAAATTAGCACAATTTGATTTTTCTCCATAGCAGTAAATGCCATCTACTATAAAATTGTTTAGTGTAAATTTTATGTTAATGAAGGGGAAGTTTAACACTTGAATCCTGTTTTATATAAATCTCAAAAAAAGATTGGTTTTTTTTTTTTATTTATTTTCCCCCCAAAGCCCCAATAGATAGTTGTGTGTCATAGCTGCACATCCTTTTAGTTGCTGTATGTGGGACGCGGCCTCAGCATGGCCGGAGAAGCGGTGCGTCGGTGCGCTCCCGGGATCCGAACCCGGGCCGCCAGTAGCGGAGTGAGCGCACTTAACCACTAAGCCACGGGGCCGGCCCAAAAAAAGATTGTTTTAAAAACAAATAACTTTGGGAGAAAACGGACATTTGAAGACTTGCTCATCTCCAGACTTTCAAGGTCTGATAGAGTCAGTAGAATAGCCTAAAATAAGGCTGATGTTACCATTAATAAATTGAATTGATATGAAAAAAGATCAAACCTTTTACTTAAGATTTTAGAATAAGTAACCATTCCACATTAACTGTAAGTATGTTCATTCACCGAATATTTATTGAGGGCTGCTGTCTGTCAGCCACTCTTCCTGGTGCTGGGAACGCATTATTGAACAGACTCCCTACCCTCACGGAGCATACATTCTAGGGGCGCGCACACATTCTCCCAATTGTCCTTTCTCTCTTTTGTACTCTATCTCATCTCTAGCCTACAGACATGTTTAGATCTCTTCTAGTCTCCTAGAGTGGTCTTTCTGAAATGCAGATGTGATTTGGCCACTCCTTGGCCCACATTTCTCAGTGTAATACCCCAGAGCCTTCCACAGGCCCCTCTTTCCACACCCTGCACCCCAGCCCATTGTTAATTCTTCGTCTCTGAAGAGAGCCTAAACATCCACAGCTCACATCTTGGTGCAGTAGTTCTCTGGAATCAGATCTCTCTGTCTCCTCCTCTTGTCTGTCAAGAGCCCTCTCAAATCTCACCTTCTCTCAGAAGTCCTACCAGATCCTACTGTCATAAGCCATCTGTCCTTTTTATGTACTGATACAGCACTGTTCATTCATTCATGCAGTCAGGCAGCAAATATTTCTTGACATCCAGCATGTGCCAGGCACTGGGGGTATAGAATTAAAGACGTAACCCTCTGTTTTAAGGAGTTCACAGTCCACGTAAAAAAATAAAGAGTTCCAGTCCAGTCAGGGACAGGCAGGTAAACCAGTGATTAAGTGCCAGTGCTGAGGGAGCTGAGAGGGAGCATATATATATTATATAACCCAGGGGAAGTAGATGGATGAGCTCATTTGAGTTACGCTTTGATTTAAAAACCATGTGGTTCTTCTTAAAGTCAGCTTGAATAGAAACACAAGGTTTTTTTTTAAATGTGCATTTTTCTGTTTATCCGGACTGGATTGTAAGCCCCAGGAGGACAAGAGTGTAATTGTCACCTCTGTGTTCCCCTGGTTTGTGGAGTAGAGTGAAACCAAGGTGTAACATAACATTCTGACGGTTACTATTATCTTCTGTGGGTTATGAAAAGTTAGGTTTTAAGTGGATTTCAGAGACTGACAACGTGACTTATGTTTTGGTGTTTATTCTTTATGTTTCTAGTATTCATATTTACTAACAAGCCAGCTGGAATCTCAGCGAATCTACTGGGAAAACAAGATAGTTCGGATAGAGAAGGACACAGCGGAGGAAGTAAGTTTCTGGTTTGGTGACTGCTGACATGCCACGTGGCAGGGCAATCTGATGTTGGGGTGGGAGAAGGCAGAGTACAGGGGAAAAAGGACTCTTAGACTCTTCCTTCTCAGTCTGATATACAGGTGGAGAACTGTTCTGCCTCTAAAAAGAAACCTTTGTTATATGTCAATTAGCTGGGCGAGAAGGAGAAAAAAGAAAACAGAAATTTGGAATCAGTTGGCTCACCCCAGTAATCTAACTCTAGATCAAGATTCTAGAGAGAACAGGTAAAGATTTGAATCATCATTCTATTACAGACTTAGCCCCGAAGGCAATTTCAGGCAACAAGAAATTCTAGACCACAGTGAGGATGAAATTGGTCAAAAAGGAGATAAGGAAGAAACAAAAATATGCTATTGCAAATGCAGTAAAATGAGTATAATTTAAGAAGGGCAGGGAAGCAGACATATATTCTCACCTAGGATCAGTAAATCAAGAAGGATGTATTAAAATTTTATTGTGTGCTGAGCTCTGTACTATACTAAATATAAGGAGAAATAAAATACCTGGTATGTACCCTAAAAAAAGAAAGAAAGAAACCTTGGATTTAAAAGCTTGATTATTTTGGTATTTTTGGATTGGGGGGGTTGGTTGTTGGTTGTCAACTTGAATCAGGTTTTGTAGTACCTTGTGCAGTTCCACTAAAAAAATAGAAGTGTGTACACGAGGGCTTGTAATGAAGTCAGCCAGCTGGTTTGTCAACTTGGGGAACAGCTGCTTTGGGGAGCTCAGTGTGGGCTTTTACGCTAACAAGATGGTGCTGAGCCCTTTGGAATTGACAGGAATAAAATTGGGCAGAGATGCTGGAGCTTCACTGGTCACTGTGGTGCCTTACTGGTCAGTGGTTTTCGAATTTTAACAAAATCCTTTAAAGAAGATGACATTCACTACTCTAACGGGTAAAAGAGAAAAGTGGTGGGATTTTGGTGGAAACCAGGCTGGAGGGCCCAGAGCTCTACCTGCTTGGTTTTCCTTTGTCTTGGGCATGTACAAGGAACCCTGAAGGTTCCAAAGAAGGGAGTTTGAAAATTAGTGAGCACTTAAGGGTTCATGTATTCATTGGGGCTCCAGGAACCATTCTTGGGACGTAGGGACAGCGTTCATATTCAGTGATTCTCTTAGTATTAAATAAAGGCTTTTACATTTTTTAAATGATTATTTTATTAACTTTGTGAATCCCCACAATGACTGGGCCTTCAGATGGGGGCTACAGAGCTGGGCTTGGGGCTTACCTCTATGGTAGCTAGGATTATCCTGGAGCTGAGCAGGCAGGGCTCGGCTCTCATTTTATGCCGGGCCCATGGGCCCCACTTTCTGGGAATGCCTACAAATGAAGAGAAATCAAGTGTTTAAAATTAAAGCTTAACACCAGCTTTAAAATGATCTTCAGGTAAAAGTTCTTGATGAAATTCTTAAAAGAACCTTCCAAGCAACAGAAATGCCTTTCCAGAGGCCCTCGAGGTCACTTGGCACACTAGTTCTGAATAGGGCTTGATTGGAGTACAGTGGAAAGGACGTGCCTCCGACAGCCCGAGAGAGAGAGAGCGTGAGCGAGCACAAGCGAGCGAGCAAGCACGGGTCACTGCCACTTGGTGTCTAGTGATGGATGCCCAGGGAGGAGCACTGGCGACCCTGTGCAGGCTCACTAATGGGTTTTCTATGGGCTATCCCAGCGTGACCACCTAAAGTTCTTCAGGCAGACCCTTGAGAGCTAGGCTCAGGATTCTCTCTGCCTTTTAAGATTCTTTAGGATTGACTGCATTCCCTAACACATGCCCATGAAAAGCAAGTCAAGGGGCAGGGAAGGGCTAAAATCTGTGAATCTTGTGATTACTTTTAGGGGATAAGATGGAGGCAAGGGCAGCCCTAAATAAAAGCTTGAAGGGCTTGAAAAGGATTTTTTGTTTTCTAATAACAAATGTCGCTTATCCCTAAGTTAATGGATGAGGCAAGCCTTTTGTTCCTGCCACTGTCCTCCTTTTGACCAGTGCTCTGTCCATTGGCACCTCCAGCAGTAGAACATGTACAGGGAGAAACAGTGACCGGCCATGGGTTTCACTGACAGAGATTGTTGTTACTGAGCCCCATAAAAACTTCATGTAGGGGAGGGGAGGGGATGGAGGTTGAAGTTCATTGTGGACTTCAGTTACAGTACTGTTCCTGCCCCTCTGCCCCCCGATGCCTTAGGTAGTGCAGTTATTATAGCGTGCGAGCAGAATCTGTTCTAGAAAGTGAAGCTCATACCCACTTGAAGGGTCTTACTTTTGATGGGGCCACATATGAAGAACAGAGAGTAGGCAGTCAGGACAGGTAAATTCCCCTAAAGATATCTCTTTTCTCTTTGGACCTCTAGCGCCACGTAAATCAGTATTTTTCCAACTGGAGATTGTGACATGAGTTTGGTGGACCACAACTGGCGTTTTAATTAAACAGAATAGGACAGATGTAAAATATCAGAGTGTTTCACATGTATCACACGTCTTGTGAAACTGTTGTCTCAGTTGTGTGTGTTTGTGTACTGAGCGTTTTCACTGTGGGCTAATGGTCAGAAATGTTTAAAAAGGCACTAATATAAACCATTGTAACATTAATCTATAGCAATATTAAAAAGCTTTTTGGGGTTACTTGATATTTTTCATCTTGATTTAAATATGTTTGGCTTAAGTATCTTTAGTGACCAAACATACAATTTGGTTCCTTTTGATAGTCATTTCTATCCTTTCCAATTTCCCCAAAGTAACAGGAGTCAGTTTAGGAGAAAATGTTAAAAGGATCTAGTGGTCTCTTGTTTTAAAAGAATATTGAGGAGAAAATTAATACCAAAGTAGAATTAGAGCAATTTTAAAGCTACTTTTATTTTTATGACATAGAAGAACTTTCAGAAATCTCCCTTTAATTGCATATTCTTCCAACTTAATGGAAGTTGGCTCTAAAGTTAATTTCTACAAAGCAGTTATTTTCCTCTTATTAAAAAAAAAAAAAGACAGTGTTGTTAGAGACCTGCTCGGCAGGCCGTATGGCAAATGTTTAAAAAGACAGTGTTAGGGCCGGCCCCGTGGCTTAGCGGTTAAGTGTGCACGCTCCACTGCTGGCGGCCCGAGTTCAGATCCCGGGCGCGCACCGATGCACCACTTCTCCGGCCATGCTGTGGCCACGTCCCACCTACAGCAACTAGAAGGATGTGCAACTATGACATACAACTATCTACTGGGACTTTGGGGAAAAAAAAGGAGGAGGATTGGCAATAGATGTTAGCTCAGAACTGGTCTTTCTCAGCAAAAAGAGGAGGATTGGTGTGGATGTTAGCTCAGGGCTGACCTTCCTCACAAAAAAAAAAAAAAAAGACAGTGTTAAAAGCAGTGGCCCTTTCTCTCGCGTGATGGATGTTGCCTGCATTGTGGATCTCTGCTGAGAGTTGAGATCTTGCCCGGGGGTCACTTGTCCTTTGCTGTACGCTTTGGCCTACAGTCGAGTGCAGAGAGAGGTCTAGAACTTGACTTTGGACCTAGACGTAGGGTCCAGTCCTGAATCCACCACACTCTAGCTAAGTGACCTTTGGTGTATTGCTTCACCTTTCTGTAAGCCTCAGTTTCTGTAAAAAGTTGACATACTTAAGTCAAAGGCTTGTTATAAGACATAAAGGAGATACTGCTTATAAAACACCTAGGCGGTGCCTGGGCCATAGGATTTAAATTCTCGATCACTTTCAGTTCCTGTTACTATTGCCTCATGATCCACCCACCCTCACTGCTTCCCCTTCCCACCTAATCATCTTCCCATGTCCTTAGAGCAGGGGAGTTGAGGCATTTCCCAAGTCTGTGGATCTTCACACCTAAGTGAATCCAGTGTCTGCCTAGCTACACTTCAACAGACTGTCAGCTAGGATTGCTGCCATCTGACACATGATACAACAGAATTTTTAAATTCTCTTAGGTTTTTAAGACAATGTAATATGAGTTCTATATGTGTGTGTATATACATCCTTTATAAATAAACTCAAAACAAGAACTGCTTACGTTCCATATGGCTTCGTGGTACATGAGAAAATTAATAGTGAGTTTGGGGACAAAAAAATCCAAACAGCTAGAATCAGCTATCACAAGTTTGTTAGATTAGAAGATTATTTGGATAGTAACTTTTGGAATGTAATCTCAGGAGGCAAAAAACGAGGGTGAGTTAAGAATGGGGGGCACTGGGGCCGGCCTGGTGGCGCAGCAGTTAAGTGTGCCTGCTTTGGCGGCCCCGGGTTCGCAGGTTCGGATCCCAGGCGTGCACCGATGCAACACTTGTCAAGCCAAGCTGTGGTGGCGTCCCATATACAGTAGAGGAAGATGGGCATGGATGCTAGCTCAGGGCTGATCTTTCTTACACACACACACACACACACACACACATACAAAAGGGAGGGGCGCTGGTCTGGCCTCTGACAAACTGTCTCCTGCTCTACTGCCTGAAACTCTGTCTTTACAGTTTCACTTGACATGCAGCAGCTCCTGAGCCCTCATTTGTCCTGGTGTGGAGAAATAGTAAGAAAAAAAGGATTTCTTGAATTTTTTATTCCTATTACATAAATTCCTTCAAAGGATTGGCTCACGTTTTCTAAGTTTGGTTTATCAAAGATATATACACGGGCCGGCCCTGTGGCTTGGTGGTTAAGTGCGCGCGCTGCAATGCTGGTGGCCCGGGTTCGGATCCCGGGTGCGCATCGAGGCACCGCTTCTCCGTCCATCCTGAGGCCGAGTCCCACATACAGCAACTAGAAGGATGTGCAGCTATGACATACAACTATCTACTGGGGCTTTGGGGGGAAAAATAAAAAATAAATAAAATCTTTAAAAAAAAAAAAAAAAGATATATACAGGTAGTTGGAAAAAAAAATTGGTGAAGTTAGCCCCAGAGGCCACACAACTTTGTCTTTGTGAAATGAAACTGATCTCTGTTTGCTCTTTCAGATCAACAACATGAAGACCAAATTTAAAGAAACAATTGAAAAATGTGATAATCTGGAGCACAGACTAAATGATCTTCTAAAGGAAAAGCAGTCTGTGGAAAGAAAGTAGGTATCATTGGTCTGTTCTTTAAATTAGCTATTTTATTGTAACAGGCTCCATAAACAGATGATTTCCTTCATTCCTATGGAAACACTCTCATTTTCAAGTGTGTGTATCACCAGGTTTTCAGGGGTCTCCCTATATATGGAACAAACTTAGTGTGACTCCCTGTTTATTAAAAAACAAGGTATTTTATGCCAGATGTGTGCCAGTGGACTGCGCTGCTCTCTCCTGATGTCTGTGCTTACGGTATGCACAAGTATCTTCCATTCTTGGCTGTAGAAAGCCATTTCTTTGTGCCCAGAGCCTACAGCTTCTCTGAGCTGTGGTGGCTGAGAAGGGGCAGTTAGAAAACAGAATGCATCTAAGCTGGAGACAGCGTGTGTCCTCACCTGGGACGGGAACGAAAGGCCAGAGGTGCTGAATACGGAGCAAACACTTTGTGAGCAGCAGGCAGGAACACACTCAACTGTTATTGGGGAGATAGTTGCCACTCATTGAAATGACCTTTCTGGTTTAGTTACATTCACAAAAATAATTGGATTTTGGGGCTGGCCCCGTGGCGTAGCAGGTAAGTGCACGTGCTCCACTGCTGGCGGCCCGGGTTTTCGGATCCCGGGCGCGCACTGACGCACCGCTTCTCTGGCCATGCTGAGGCTGCGTCCCACATACAGCAACCAGAAGGATGTGCAGCTATGACATACAACTGTCTACTGGGGCTTTGGGGGAAAAATAAATAAATAAATAAAATTTTGAAGAAAAAAAAAGGGAGATAATTGTTCTTTAAGTTTTTTTTTTAATAAACCTTTTATTTTGGAATAAATTTAGATTTATGGAAATGTTGCAAAGGTAGTGCAAAGAGTTCCCATATACCCTTCACTTGTCTTTCCCCCATTGTTAAAAGGTGGGGGTTTCTTAACAGGTTTTTTTGTAGTAAAATCTATATAACAAAATTTGCTACTTTAACCATTTTTAAATGTACAGTTCAGTGACATTAAGTATATTCAAACTGTTATGCAACTATCATCTCTCTCTGTTTGGAAAATTTTTCATCACCCCAAACAGACACTCTTCACCAAAAGTATTTTTTTAACTGTTGTAAAAACAACATTACAACATTAATAGAAATGAAAATAAAAAATTCTCCTATACTTTCAGCACCCTAAGAATTTAAACTGTGTTAAAGAATTAAAAAGTTAAAACTGGACGTTTTCTTTTACCCCCTAGATCCTGCTACCTAGAGGTAACTATTATTAACAATGCCTGAGATATATATACAGAGATATATCAACATCTCACATATATAATAGTCTTTTTCATACAAAAATAGAATATTAGATATTCTGTTTGGTAAAATATTCTGTTTTGGAGATTTTTTTCCATACTAGCACATCTAGATTTATCCTGATCTTTGTAACGGCTGCGTGGTATTCCATTGTATGGAGGCCCCATGATAATTTTAACCAGTTCCCTATTGATGGGCATTTAAGTTGCCTCAACATTGTTAATAAACAATGTTGCAATGGGCATCTTTCTCCATGTGTCTTTTGGCGCAGTCCTGAGTATATCTGTTCCATAGAATAAATTCCTAGAAGCAGAATAGCTATGTCAAAGGGCATGTGAAATTTTGATTTTCATAGACATTGCTAAGTTGACTTCCAGAGATTTGGTACAGTTCACACTCCATGCCAGTGTGTGGGGGGCCTCTTTTCCCATGTCTGAGCTCTTTGGCATTCTGGTACATAAAAATGGTATCTCAAATGGTATTTTAATTTGTAATTCTTTATTTATGAGTAAGATTGAGCATCAAGAATAGGGCATTCCTTATTTTTGAAATCCCTTCTCCAGCAAGTTCAGTGAGGTCAGAACACTTGACTCTCCAAGAATGTCACTTTTCTTCATAACTTCATCATGGCTATCATCTCTAAGCCACCTACTTAACCACCAACTGCAGAACAGAGAAGCAGTAGAAGTTTTACCATGAACCACAGAATAGTGTCTGCTATTGAAAAATTTCTGATGCTTTAAAAAAATTGTCTTGAAGCTACACTTGGGTTAACTAGAGTGAAATATTGGCTTTGTGTAGCTGTTGCAGTGGCAGCAAACCAGTCTCCCTGGCCATGGGAGGGAGGAGTCCCCCCGCCGTAAATGGATTCTGAGGTCATGGCTCCTCTGTTCAATCTCAGAGCAAAAAGGGGACTGTGTCAGCAAATGAAAAACACGCTTTTGTCTTCCTTTGTTTTGCAAAAGGTGCACTCAGCTAAACACAAAAGTGGCCAAACTCACCACGGAGCTCAAAGAGGAGCAGGAAATGAACAAGTGTTTGCGAGCCAACCAAGTCCTCCTGCAGAACAAGCTGAAGGAGGAGGAGAGGGTGTTGAAGGAGACCTGCGACCAGAAGGATCTGCAGATCACCGAGATCCAGGAGCAGCTGCGTGATGTCATGTTCTACCTGCAGACACAGCAGCAGATCAGCCACCTGCCTGCTGAGACCCGGCAGGAGATCCAGGAGGGACAGATCAACATTGCCATGGCCTCGGCCTCCAGCCCCCCCTCTTCGGGGGGCAGTGGGAAGCTGCCCTCCAGGAAGGGGCGCAGTAAGAGGGGCAAGTGATCTTCCAAGAAACGGATGTCCCTGAGACTGTTTTCCCTGGCACAGCGAGAGTGTGCTGGGGCCTTCGACTAAATGTGAGGGTGGATGGACCCTAAGTAAGTACAAGCGAGGATCAAGCCACAGTTGTTTGGATCTTTCATTGCTAGCGTGTGGTGTAATGTAGAGGGCTGATGACTAGGAGAGCTGAGGGAAATGAGCCGTGTTTTCAAAGGTGGCTGCTCTTTAAACCGTAATAGCTCACTAACCTCAGACATTCTGATGACCATTTTGCCTTCCTACTTGATAGATGCCCCTATTCTGCTGTGCATTTTTCCGTTGTATTTATTGAGTTGGTGTATTTGATGTTCAGTTCTGGGGTCGGTTTAAGACGTCACATTTTTTTTGTAACCTCAAAGGTAATGTTACCTCTCACTAAAGCACCAAACCTCCCTGAAGTCATAGCAGCTGCTTTAAAGAGAGGTTCGAATTGGCTACTGAGGATTCACGAAAATTCTCTAGCATTGGCCTCATGTTGTTGTCATCCCTCCCTGCCTCTGGGGAATTGAAGAAGTGGTTGAATGTTACATGAAAAGAGGTTAGGCCTGTAGACCAGGCACTGGCTTGTCACCAGCAGCCATCTCTTCTTGCTGTAGGGCTAGCCAGGGAAAACAAACAACCCGAGGCAGACTGAGTAGACCCAGTGTAGGAAAAATGATGGTGTTTCCACTTTGTTTATTTTTGATGACTCCACACCTCATTATGAACCTCAAATAAGGAGGCGGCTTAATGGTTGCTCCAAGACTCGAATCTCAGTGTGGATTTCCTAGCATCTAGCAAGAATAAGCAGGCAGATTTATCATCCATGTGAAAATGGAGAGTGAGGCCTCTGACTAGCTGATTGTGTATTTCGTTGGGATCAGTATTTTCTGAACGTTTACAAAAGATTGGGCTGCATGTTCAGGTTGCGGCTAGAGGGAGCTTGGGCAGATTTTCAGTTATGCTTTCAAGATATAACCAAAGGCTGCTCCTAAATCTGAAAATTAGAATTTTAACAGAGCCCCCTTGAAAACACCCAGGTAATGCTTGTTGTGGGCCAAGAGAGGGGCTGTGTTCTTTCTCTAGCAACGTGAACATCAAATAATTCATGATATGCAGTAATTGAGCAAAATTAAAGTAAGACCTGTGTTGGAATTTAGCTTCCAGAAGAGATAGCTGGATAGGTGAACAAGACATACTGTTAAATTATGGGTTTTGTTTTCTGCTTTATAATTAGCCAAAGTTTTCAAATTATCACATTTCAGAATTGTTTTTTAGCCTGTGGTTAGGCCTCATTCCCTTTGACCTAAATGTCGTACATGTTACTTGTTAGCACACCAAGTATATCGCTAGTCTCCATCCATTTTTGTGGGATGTGCTGCAGCATTTCCCAAAGAACCTTACCTGTAACTTTGCGAAATGAATGTACTCAGACATTCGCAGTTTTTACTTAGGGCAGACCAACTCTCTTAAGTCTCCCTTAGACTTAGATATACAGATAGCTTAAAGCAAGAGTGGGAATGTAAAGCATAACCTAATTCTCTTTCCTATAGAGATTCTATTTTATTTAAAATCTATTTTTACACTAGTTAGAATCCTGCTTTTTTGGCCAAGTATTTGTCTTGCATGTCTGACCTTGCAGAAGCTGGGGTGGATCGCAGCATACTAATGAAGAGAGTTAGCAGTAGTTTACAAAGCTTGCTCGCTCCTCATTTCTCTATGATCACCTCCATCGAGCAGCCCTACCACCAGCTGGGAGAACAGAGATTTTCAGTACAGGTGGAATAAACGCTCTGAAAGGCTGTGCCCAGAGGAATGAGCAAATAGGCAAATGTTTCTGAACTACTTGAAGGTTTAAAAAAATGTTCCAGGAAAAAAAATCTTATCAAGATATGTAAAGAAAATGTTTTTTAAAAAAGGTCAAACAGTCATGTTTGAATTTGACAGAATTACATAAGATAGAAGCTGTTAGTGATTTCTTCAGGATGGAAATGAACCACTTAACATATCCATACTACCTTGAACAATGAAGTTGCATTAAAATAACCAAACTTTGAAATGATTCTGCTCCGCGTGAAATTTGTGTCTCTGACTGACATTTGCTTGGGAGCTTGTATCTAAATAATCTAAGTGTCAGTGGCCTGGATTTAAAAAGCAGCATAAAAATCAACCTGTCAACAATACAGTGGGCAGCTAGATGATTCATCTTTCCGCCCCTTTGCTCCAGCTTCCCAAAGTAATAAAAAGTAGCTGAAGCAGATACAGAATAGGGAAAATTACCTAGATTTGGAGGCTCGGGCTAGGAGGAGACCCAGGCACACAACTCTTTTGCAAACTGAAAACAATCAGTTTATACACCTGAGATTCTTTTCCAGGCCCTACAGCAAGCTGAGATTGTTTTATTTTTGGAAACGGTCACAAATGGGACTTGTTAGGATGCGCTGGGTCTCCTCAGTAGCACTGAAGCCACTGCGCGCTCCATGCTACCACAGCGAAGTCGTCCCCAGCAAAAGGGCTGAGAAACGCATTTCAACAGCCAGCCAGTAGAACGTGGAGAACTTGGCAAATCACGAATGAACAACCTTCTGTCATCACTTGGAAACCCCTCTCCTTGTGCAGTCAGGATCCACAGCTACAAATACTGTCCTTCGGATTTGGCTGCCGTGCACGATGCCACGTTGCTTGAGCTGGTGGCAAATTTTGGCTAGTGTGATGAAGTCCATGAGCTTGTCTAAAAAAGGAAAGTCACCCTCACAAGGTTTGAGGAAAGCTAGTTCGTTTTCTCCAGGATGAAGCTGAATTCACTCTGTCACAGTGATTCTGCTGCGTTACTTCTTCCTTGGCAGCAGAAGGGAAATTTTTCAGGAGTCTCTTAAGACTCGGCTCCTGCTCCTTAATGGTGCTGGGGGACGGACGTCTGAACTACTCAGAGACCTGGCCATCACCCTAAGCGAGTTTAGGAAGCCACCAAGTGTTCTCTGGCAGGCCCCTGCTGCTGGCCAGTCTTCACTCTTGCCTCTGAGAATTCTTGAAACGGGAGTCCTAGAATATCTGCATGGTGGCTACACCAACAGATGGAGCTTTTAAAGTTAAAAATTTTAAATGACAGGAAAGAATGCTGTGAAAAGGAGAAAAGCCTTTTCCTTTAGGAACTCTGAGTTGTACCCCAGAGCCAAAGTCAAGTGTCTCCTCTGCAATGTGAAGTTGATTTTTCCCCCGAAACACTGTCCTGCTGTCAGCCTGGTGCAAATGAAAAACATTCTCTGCATTGGTGCATTAGGGGACTGCAGGGAAGTTACATAAAGCTTCTTTTATTTTTTACCTTTTTTTGGGGGGTGGGGAGGGGTTGTGGCCTCTTTATCCTGATTAATGTCATAATCCACTCTTTTACACCCTCTTTTCATTTTTTTATGGTAGTGGTAAACGTTTATCACTTAATGGTAACCCTTCTTACCTTGCATCCCTGCAACTCACTTGCCCTCCCTGGAATGCTCAGACACTTGCGATAGTAGATTCTATCAGGCATTAATTTTGAAAGCTGTACTTCCAGAAGCCGAAAGTATTTCAGAATCCTTTTAGCTAGTATCCTTTCTGTGAACCTTGAGCAGTCTCTTACCGTAATTCTCGAAGCTTAGGAGAGCACGAAAGGGGTCTGCAGTTGGTTCTTAATCTGGATTTTGCATTCTTGCATTAAAGAAGGCCAAGAAGAGAGGAACAATCTGTTGTTTCATACAAGATGACTGTGGTCTTTGGGGCCTAATTTGAATTGCTTTAGGTCAGAAACTTCTCACTGGAATCATCTGGAAAATGTGGTTTTGGTACTTGGCACAGGGCTGCGCTGGTGCAGATAACATTTGTTACTCCAAGGCTAATTACCAGGCACGCTAAGTGAACTAAAGCAGCTTTGCTTCCTTTCAGACCGAGTGCTAAATCCCCTGGCCCCAGACTCCTTTCAGATCCAGCCTCTCGAAATAAATGCACAGAGGTCTGTCCAGGGAGGGAAGTCAGTCACAGGGTGCAATCACCTGGCTGCAGGGTCTCGGCACATGAAGGTGCACCACACCCAGGATAAATCCACCCTAGTGTACTTGACTGATAGTGCTGTCCTTTTCAGGAGGCGAAAGTGAGCCTGTAGCACTGAGCAAAATGTCGAGTAGGAAAAACGATGCTGACCTGGCCTCCGGAGAGACATCTTCTGCCATCTTTTGCCCAGAAGCAGCAGCAGGTCCCAGACTAAATCTTGTACCTTTGTTTCCTCGTTTAAAAAGGAAGAGCACACTCAGACTCCTCCAGCTGTATCGATGCCTGATTCTAAATTCTCAGTCCCTTGGTTCTGGCCCAATAGGCCAAAGTTCAGACTTTCCCTAGAGCGCTGGGAGAAGTCGAGTGCCATTAAAGAAGGAGGTGTTTCCACCACTTGAGAAACTCGCCTGTGTCACTTTACATCATTAACATCATGCTTAGCACCCAAGACTTCCGTGCTGACGGAAAAGAAGGAACACGAACTAATTTCTGGGTAGAAGAACAGATCACAGAGAAAGACGTAGAAGTGAAGAAGAGTAAATGGAAAATTTTAGGAGGAATAAGGAGAGTTGCTCTCTTGGAAACACTCCAACAGACAGCAAACAAATTGTGACTTATCGCACACAGCCAGAGGGTCCTCCAGCAGCATTTTCCAGGAATTATCTTTTGTGAAAGACAGCCTTAGTCATAGCTGTGCCCGCTCACATATTCTGATTAGTTTATGCTCATGCGGAAACTATGAGCCCAAAACGGTTTGCGAATGGGACAGCAATAGAAGAGCCACGTCACAACTCCCCCACCTCCTGGCCCCACCTGTCCTTGAGGAAAAAAATTAAAATCCTCTTTTCAAAATGCATACCTCAGGAAAACAGCTTCGTTGCATTTGTTTCCATGCTGCAGAAAATCAGCACTATCTGGCTTTGATCCCAAACAGGGCGAACTGCAGAACGCTGAGATTCTGCAGCCAGGAAGCACTGGTAGGCCTCCTCCGGCCACCCTCCCCCAGCACATTCGACTTCAATTATGTGGGAAATGCCTGGGCCGGGGGCTGCTGCCAGAACTCTCCTGGCCCCGATGGAGGAGGCCCTGTGCTGTGGCCTAGAATCTTTCCTAAAAGTCCATACAGGATCTCTCAGTTGCTGCCAATCCTGCACTTTCTCTGGCGAGATTCCTGGCTCTGTTTGGCTGGAGTAACGCTGAAGCTCTCTCCTGTTCCCTTCTTCCTATATGCTGGCTTCTCCTCTCCCTGCGGCCCCTTTGCCTCTCACAGTTGCAAATGTTCCACTGCTTTTAGGAACCAGACTAGTTCCGGAAAAGATAACCCACACCAAGCCCCCCACCTCTTCTCCGTTAGCCCTCAGGAGAGGGCAGCCTCTTGGGTGAACTCTTAAAAAACAGTTTTTCACCTTCTGAGATAACATTCTTGTGGAAAGGGAGGTAACTGACGCTCAAGAAACCGGATTGGATTACTGTTCACTTGTGTGAACCCAAGTAGACTAGGAAAAACCTAGAAGAACATCCCCAGGAGAGACGTCTTTTTCAGCACTGGTTACCCCAAGTAGACAGTCCAGAGGGGCAGACCCAGAATCTCTGTTTTTCTTTGGTGCACTTGCTGAGAATTGGAGGCGGGAGCAGGTCCTGGCCTTTCTTGGTGGTTTGATTCCAAGACTAGCTCACGTTTGTTGAATTCTGAACCACTTACCCAACTACAGTTACTGGGCTGAGTGCTCGCCATGTCCTGTCTCATTCAATCCTCAACACCAGCCTGTGAGTAGGCAGAGTTCTCCCCCTTTACAAATCGGGAAACCAAGGCGCAGTGGGAGACAGTTAGGACTCGGCCAGCATTGACTTGAGGTCACATAGCTGATTTGTGATAAGGGCAGTGCTCAGTCTCAGCTTTGTTGGACCCCAAACTCTGCTCCACTGCCTCCCCTAACTGTGGAACTCAGGAACAGAAAGGACACAGCTCCCAGTTGTCCTTTTGTAGTTGCTTTGGGAAAGGAGCAGAGTACTGAGTCAGGCCCACTTTTGTGTGCGTAGAGCGCTCCTGTAGACCCACCTTCTGCAAGCATTCCCTTCTCTCCATGGAACTTTCTAACTTCTCCTGTCCTCTCTCCCACTTCAGCGGGACCTGAGCCAGAGCTGATAAAGAAAGAGGAAGGAAATGCCAGCGCTTTTCCTTAAACAGCCAAGGGCTGGCTTTGGGAAATCATTTCAGTTGCGTGTCATGGCCCCTTCACCTTGTGGGGCTGGGAGCCTCACCCACGCCAGCCATTTGAGCTGACATCTCAGTTCTTGTATATGGAGCTGCCTGGGAGCCGAGGTGCTTCCCCAGCTGGAAAAGTTGCTTCTGGAACAAAACTACGTCGTCTCTAAGGAGTCCTTTCTTTGAGTGTAGACTCAGTTACTGCTCCCAGAGGCATAGTCAAACAGGCATAAACAGGCTAACTGGAAACTGTAGATTCTGGAGGGATCAGCTAAATTTGTGGCTTCCATTTATTACAGAATAAATAGGGGAGAGAGAAAGCCCAGAACAAATTTTTATGAACTACTGGGGGATATTATAAAGTGGTGTTAATTTGGCAGGTATAAACTGGTGTGTGTGTCTGTGTGCAAAGGTCTTCCAAGAGCTTTTCCTTTCTTTCTTTTTTATATTATCACAAGTCAAATTTAATTTATGATATAGATGCAATACCTATTTTTTTGTGTTATGTAACTCACATCACTTATTTCGGTTTATCCTATTTACAGTTATATATTTTAAATGCTATAAAACAATAGCAAGAACTTTCTTTTAAAATATCCAAGTATATTGTTTGTATGTTTTTTATTTTTTATTGAGATATAATTAACATATAATAGAATGCAGCTTTTCAGCATTCACTTGGATGTTTGGACAATTGTATACATCCATGTACTCACCACCCAAATCCAGATGTAGACTATTTCCCTCTCCTCCCAAAATGGGATGTTTTATTTTTAAAGCAGAAAAATATAGAGAGGAAAATTAAAAGCAACTTTATCTCAACAGAGGAAATC